CATAAATTGTAATAAGCAGAATGTCTGCTTTTGTTAAAAGTAAATTTTTACTGTATATTTTAGGGTTTTACAGCCATTTTTGCTGTAATTTTCATTAACCAACTATAAATTATCATATCGTTATAAATTAGGTATTATTATACTTTTACAGATTATTAATATTAGATTTGTAAATATACATAAATTTGTATTTTCACATAGTTTTTTCTGTGTTACATATTTGCTGCAAACTACTTGTAAAATTACCATAATTATCTCGTAGAAAAACAAAAAAGAGTTTTCTTACAGCTAATAAGACTGTAATTTGTAACAACAGAAAAATCACTGTAAAATTTTACAGCATTTTTTCTGTAAAAAAACATCAATTTTTAACAGTGTATTCTGTGGTTGCCTGTTCCAAATTATATGTGCGTTATGTTGGTGGGTTGAAACAAATTATGTTGCGTTGCCTATTCCTACGTGTCCGTTGCGGTGCATCCTTGGAGTGTACCTAAATTCGTGATCAAAGTTACTCTGTCTAATGGCCTGATTCCACGAGGCGGGATTTTTCGACGGAAACGAAATTTCTCTTTGTCTTTTTACAATTAGTTCTGCTCGAGGGCTCATGAAACAAAGACTAGACATTTCTTGAAAAAATATTCACACAAATTTTTGTTTGTTCTTTTTGTTAGATATTCTTATTTATGTTTGTCGATTGCATTAAACTGTTGCGAAGATTTGATAAGAATGTCACATTCTGGTGCATTCTTCAAATGATTTCTGTAAAATTAAATGTCACACTCCTAATGTAGAGCATATATCCCTTAAATGGGACTTTGGTTGTTAGGTTTGTTTATATGCATGAGGCGATCCAGCCCCGGTGCATCAGCGATAATACAGCTAAACATTTTAGTCAAAGAGCAAATAAATATAACTAGGCCATTCTACGATGAAAGCTCTAAGTATTCCCGGTCAATTTTAGCAAATATTTCAAGCACTATTAAAACAGTGAAAAATGCATTGCAAATTTCGTAAAAATTGGCGACGCCAATTTCGTAGCTACAAATGTAAAAAAAATACAAAACAAAGACGAAAAACATTTACCTTGAATACTTTGTCGTGGCTTAGGCATATTTTTAAAACAATCAGACCAGTTTATGCTTTAATATTACTCTTTTAAAGCGGATAATATAGCGAAACAACAAAAATGCTGAGAACTTTGGCAATACACGTGACGTCACAGATTGCAACTAGGTTTAGACTGTGACGTCAGGAAGTTTCCTATCCAGTTATTTTACAATCCATGCTCGGACTCACCTCCCTGCAAGCATGTTTGTTATAGAACCCACCTTTGCTATTATTTTCTACTAAATTTCATTTTGCATTTGTATGGGAACCGAGCTGGGAAGCGAGATCCCGCTTCGACTCATCCAAGACCTCAAGTGACCGGGCTTGGAATTTCCCATATAAACTCAAAGACCTGGGCTGGCTCGCCTAAGCAGCCTGAGTGTTATTACTATAGTAATATTAATAATCCATTTCAGTTACAAACTGCAGTGTTCTTTCCTGTGGACAAAATAAAGAGTGTGTCCAGGTGAACAATATCTCCACATGTGTTTGCAAGGATGGATATGAAGAACCCGATTGCCGTCCGAGTAAGAAGTCCTATTTTTCATTTAAAATTAATTGGAATGCTTAGTGTCCTTCCAAAATAAGATTGAAATATTTTTCTATGTTTTGAGTGGGAATTTTAATCGGATATGAATTATGCACATTTCAGTGACAGCCCTTGTTTATGTACAAGAAATTTAAGTCTGTGCAAGCATTCTGTCCTGCGACAAGCTTTTCGCATTTTATTTTATCTCATTAGAAAGAAAGATTTTGATTTAGGTATGATCCATAGGCGGATATATGGGGGGGGGGGGGTTCCCTCCTACAATCTCTCTAACCCCTCATCTAAAGTGTTCAACCCCACTAAAATTTTGCTTCATCCCTCCTATTTTGTGTGAAAGTCTCTGACGTTAATGCTTATAACCCCTGTCGAAGATCGCTCAGTGGTGCCGCTTGCACCCCACCAGACATTTTTCTACCCCTCCTTTAAAAAAATGAAAATCCGCCCTTGTTATGATCCCACTCTGCAGTACTTCATCTAGTTAAGTTGCAGTCTTTTCATGTATGTGTTAATAAAAGAAGGTTAATGTAAAACCCGTGGATATCAAATGCGATTCTTATATGTCGCAGTGCCAATTTTTCATATCTTTTTTCTGTAGTTGATGTTGATGAATGTACAGCCACACCTCCGAAATGTGCAGGAGCAGGTCAAAGATGTACCAAATTTCCAGGAGCATATCGCTGTAACTGTGTCAGTCCTAGACAACAACTTAATGACGACGAATCAGCATGTATTGGTATGTACGGAGCACATAACAATACAATAGCTTTGTGTGCCTATGGATTCATCTACTCTTTTCACATACCTGATTTTTTCATGTGTCCTCTCAACGAGCTATCGTGCAATTTAAGGATAATAATTGCTGTTTGCCCTAAACTTCTTTTCTAAAGAATTGGACGGGACTCTCAAATCTATATTTAAAATTTTCTATATCGTACTTTATATAACGTTGTATATCTTGCGTTGACCTACCTTGCCTGAATTCACCTTATATTACTCCAACTTGCCTCGTCTTGCTACATGTTACCTAATCCTACCATACCTAAATTTACCATTTCTATCCTGCCTTGCCTAGCCTGCGTAGTGGCTCTCAGGGAAACTGAGAGCCAGCACGAAACCCCATGTTTTGCCGTTTGTACTCGAGAACGAGAAAACTGATTGGTTCAAAACGACAAAGATGCTAATTTATGCTAAACTCATCATTGATTGATAGCATAAATTGTGAATAAACATGGTGTATGCATTTGAAGGGTGTTTCTTGAGAGTTTTGTATTCCTCGATTTCACATGTAAGGATGAACATGAGCGGCGGTTGTGTGCTTGTGAGCTCTGATTATATCTTTTATTTTTGAGCTCAAAGCCTCAAACGTTATTATATACATAATGCCTGATACAATAACATCTCTAAAGAAAGAAAACGATGCTCTTAAACGATAAATTGAATCTTTAAAGACGAATTTTGGCAAACTACAAGAAATGATGGAACGCCATGAAGAACCAGTGAAGCAAGACGACCTGAGTAAAATTTTGCAAACTCAAATCCATACCTTACAAAGTAGCCTTCAGTTTCTAAGTGACAAATACGATTCTGAGAGTACTTCTAAAGCTGAAATGAAAAAGGAAATGAACAAACTAAGCTCAAAATTGGCAGAAATAGCCATCAAAGTCGACCACGTTGGCGATGCGCTTGAGCAACTTCTGGAATATAGTTATCAGTATAATATTAAAATTCTTGGCCTTTCAGAACGAAGGGAAAGGGAATCGGCGATTGAAACCAGCTCAATGTGTGTAGATCTTTTTAAATCGATGGGAGCTGATATAAACCTTAGCGACATTGATATCGCTCATCGTGTCCCCAGCCGAAGACAAGATGGCAAACCGCGTCCGATAATCTGGAAATTTGCTCGTCGAATTGCAAAAGAGATTGTGATGAATCGACGAAGCGAAACCTCTTAAAGTCAACTCATCCGTACGAATGTTCGACCATTTAACTCCGAAAAATCAGCAAATTTTATTCGAAGCGAGATCATTTAAAGAAAGAAACGATTATCAATTTTGCTGGACAAAGAACTCTGTCGTTTATTTAAGGAAGAATCCTTCCTCCCGCGCTATCAGAATAAAAGATGTTGAAGATCTTCAGAGATTAAACGAGTGACAGTGTACAACATAACCAGAGCTAAGTTACAGTTATTAAGTTTATTTAATCATCTATTCATTGGAAAGAATGCATATTTTTTTGAGGTCTAATTCACTAGTTGAACTTCCATTTTATAATGTCGACCTTATCCAGGAGTTTTCCTTTAATAACAATTTAAACCTTCCTACTATGAAACATCTTAACAGCTATTCTAGTATGTACGACCTGGGGCTTTTTAATATAGACACATCTACCGATACAAATGTAGATATAAATTCAAGCCATCAGTCAATTCAATCTCAGTATTATTCACCTTATAAATTTTCAGAACTTAAGAACTCTGAAACAAAACACATCATATTGAATAAAAGTTTTTCAATGCTAGCCTACATAACAACGTAAGGAGCCTGAAACGCAATTTGGAAAATTTGCAAACTCATTTGTTACAAGAACTAAATTTTAATTTCAGCGTAATAGGTATTACTGAAACAAAAATTAGAGATAATGACTTTTTAAATTTTAATCCTAATATGAAAAACTATAAATTTGAATTCGTTCCAACACCTTTAGCTTCAGGAGGCGTGGGGATGTATATTTGTGATAACCTGAAATATACTGTTTTAGAAAAATGCTCCAATAAAGATTTTCAGGCTCTTTGGGTTGAAATTGATTTCCCAGATAAATCAAATATTATTTGTGGGGTAATCTACAGACAACATAACTCCCCAGAGTCATTTCAAACATATTGTGAAGACAGTTTGGACAGATTTAGTGCTTTGCGATCAAATAAGTCTATATATATAATGGGTGATTTTAACATAAACCTCCTCAATGCTCAAACCTGCAAATACACACAAGACTTTTTATTAACCCTTCAAAGCTATGCTTTAACGCCAGCCATTGACAAACCAACGAGAGTTTATAATAACTCGGCCACTTTAATTGACAACATTTTTGTCAATAAAAAACCCAATTCTAAGTGGAAATATTGTTTCTGACATCAGTGATCATTTCTCGCAATTTTGCATAATCCAAACATACAATAAAACAAAACATTTATATCAACATCAAAGCAAAGTACGAGATTTTTCACATTTTTTACCGTTAGATTTTAAGAATGATTTAACACAAATTAATTGGAATTCTATTATCGACAGTAAAAAGAGAATATAGATATATTATTTACAACGTTTTATATTAAATTACATAAACTAACAAATAAACATACACCCTTAAAATTAATATCCAAACGTAAGATTAAACAGTCTGTTAAACCATGGATAACAAAAGGCATTAAAAAATGCATTAAGATAAAAAACAAACTATTCTATTCTGGAAACAAAGAGAAATATAGATTGTACCGAAACAAAATAACTAACTTAACTTGGATGAGCAAAAGGTTTTATTTTGAGGAATATTTTTAAAATAATCTTAAAAATATCAGGAAAACTTGGGAAGGTATCAACAATATAATAAATCGTAAGAAAAAAAGTTGAAAACTGGTTACAAAAATGAGGTGTCCAATCAAAAATGAAATAGCTACGAGTCCTACAGAAATTTCGTCCAATATTTTTAACAAACATTTCTCATATATAAGGGAAAAATTAGCTGTTAAGTTACCCAATTCAAGTAAACATTTTAGCTATTATCTTAATACCAACAATTATCCAAATTCATTCTTTTTTAAACCCGTTACGTCTTCTGAAGTTGAATCCGAAATCAATTCAATGCCAAAACAAACGGTCTTTACTCTGTCCCATGTATGCGTATACTAAAATGCATAAAAGAAAACATATCGTGGCCGCTGACTGAAATAATGAATCTTTCAATTCAAAATGGAGTATTTCCCAGAAAACTTAAACATGCTAAGGTAATTCCTGTTTATAAGGATGACGATGAGACTGGTCCAGGAAACTACAAGTCAATTTCACTGCTTTCTAATTTCAGTAAAATATTTGAAAAATTGATGTATAAGCGTCGACGTCTTAAACATTTTATCGATAAAAAAACAGTACGGTTTTAGAGACCAACACTCGACACAATATGCAATTACAGACATTGTAAACAACATTCAAAATAATAAGGAGAAAAGACTGTTCTCATGTGGAATATTTCTTGATTTAAAGAAAGCTTTTAAAAAATTGTGATACTTGTGTTTACGAATTTGTTCATGAAGAGCGATACACCGGGTGTGGTGTCTTCATTGGATGCATTTTCGTTTTCATCAATGTCAAATAGATTTTTTCTTGATGATTTTGTAGTGATGATTTTTGCATTTTGCGCCAGGATAGAATTTCCGTGAATGCTTCCGAACGGTACTTGCTCTCTCTGTAGTGACGGCTTCAGACACTTTTCTCTTTCCTGCACCGCCCAAAACTTTGACATTTACATCATGGTTGACCGCTGTCGAAACTAATTTGTACGTATCCACGAGATTTCGTAGCTTTCTCGCAAATGGACTGTAAGCTACTTGCGACGACGATAGAGACTGCTCTAGCGCTAGTTTTTCCACGGACGTCAATCTTTCAGCAATCACCTCCCCAAAACTTTCCATTCTTCGACTTGGTTTGATATCTTGGCATTATCAGAGACATGGCTAAATTCGTCCACGACTAATGCCGAGGTAAAAATTCAGGAATACAATATATACAGACTTGATCGTGAGCACAAAAGAGTGGCGGCGTATGTATTTACGTCCGTAATGATTTCAAGACAAAAGTTTTGAAAAATCTCTTGTATATTTCTCCAGTAGGTGTCCATCAACTTTGGTTACAAATACAAGTGAATAAAAACAAATCTATGATCGTTTGCGTTACTTATAGACCACCTGACTGCCCGGTTACATGTATACGGGATGAACTAGGAAAAGAGATCATTATTTTGGGCGATATGAATTGCAATCTCCTTCAAACATATTGTTACGAGTCTAAAATATTATTAGATACTTGCTCCGAACTACACCTGACCCAACTTATTAAAGATCCAACGAGAATTACATCTCATACAAGTTCATTACTTGACGTTATTATGATTTCGTCCTCCTCTAAGGTAACGTAGCGGGGTTGTTGACATTGGTATTAGCGACCATTCTCTCATATACTGTACACTTAAACTTAGAGCTGATAAGCCCCGACTTGTATATAAGGATGTGAGGAGTTTTAAGAACTACAACTCCGAGAGTTTCAAGGCAGAACTGTCTCAACTTCCGTTTCATGAAACCTATCGTATTAATGATGTAAATGAGAAAATTGATCATTTCAATCAATTGTTCATAAATACTCTGGACAAACACGCGCCTATCAAACACATCAGAATTAAAGGCAGACTTAACCAGTTTATTAATAAAGAATTAAAGTGCACGATGAAACTGAGAGACAAAAAGCTGAGAATTTTTCGCCTCTCACGTAATGCGGAAGATTGCGATGTCTATAAGCAACTTAAGAATTCTATAAAAAAAACATCTTTAAGAGCAGCAGAGTCCAACTTAGTCCAGAATCAAATTGAGGAATATAAAGGTAGTTCAAGGTCTATGTGGAAAGTGATTAGGGGGTGTCTGCCGAGCAAAGATTCAGAAAATCCGTTTACCAGAAAGACCACAAAAAATTAGCCAAGAATTTAATGAATATTTTGCTTCTGTGGGGAAGATTGCACCCGACAAGGTCAAGATATTTGCGGAAGTTAACAACATTCAGATAGCAACTGCTTTACCACCTGCAAGACACCGATCTTCTCTTAATCTGTTTGAATTTAGAACAGTCACACCTGATGAAGTTAGAACAATTATTTTAAATAGTCCATCAAACGAAGCTCCAGGTGCCGATAAGATAAATATTCAATTTATTAAAGATTCACTTGATTTTAGATCTTGTTACGGATATTATCAACTGTTCCTTGATGACGTCAACATATCCTTCAATGTGGAAGATAGCAGAAGTGGTACCGCTACACAAGGAAGGGGATCCTGAAATCGCTTCAAATAATCGACCCATTTCACTGCTATCTAACAAACCACAGCTTATTGACGGAGCATCAAAGTGGTAACCGGAAAAAACATTCTATCGAAACACTTAACATTGCAGTGACAGACATGTTGTTGGAAGCTATGGATAATAAACAGTTATCTATAGTTATATTGTTGGATATGTCGAAAGCCTTCGATAGTTTTGATACAACATGCTTCTTCAAAGAATTCTAAACCTAGGCCTATGGGCGTTTCAAGTGGTTTAAAAGTTACTTGTCTGACAGATAGCAGTATGTTAGAATTGTTACTACCTCTTCGGCGCCTGTTGCATTGTCGTACGGAATTCCTCAAGGCTCTGTTCTATCGCCGTTTTTATTTAATATATACACAGATATCTTGTCTTCAGTTCCCAACAGTTGTAGTCTTGAATCGTATGTTGACGATTCGAAAACATTTTTATCGTTTTCATTGTCGCATATGGAACACTCATTACTGCATATAGAAGAGGATGTACACAGAGTTTTTGAATGGTGTTGTAACAACAGTCTTCTTGTAAACCCAGAAAAGACCAAAATGTTGGTGGTTGGTACACGGCAACTCATGAAGCAATTGGAATCTCCCGTCCATATTAATTTTATGGGAGAAAATCTTACACCTCTGACAGAGGTTAAGGATTTGGGTATGCTTTTGGACTCTCATCTAATGTACGACAAACATATACAAGCATTGTCCTCATCGTGTATCTCAAAATTGCGTCAGATTGGTCGCGTGAAACACAACTTTGATCAGTCAACACTAGTTACAATCATCGATACATTAGTCATGAGTAAAATTAACTAATGTTCAACAGTATGGTCTAATACGTCAGATAGCAACATAAAAAAGATCCAATTAATCCAAAATTGCGCAGCCCGATTAATTACAGGGGTGCCTAAGTATGATCATATATCACCGACATTAAACGCGTTAGGATGGTTGTCAATCAAAGAACATCTATTGTACAGAGATGCGTTATTAACATTTAAATGCATGAATGACAAAGCTCCACAGTATATTTATGCGATAATTTTGAACAACGAAACAGAATTCATAACCGAGATACTAGAAGAAATGGAGACCTAGATATTCCAAAATATAGGACATCGATCGGTCAAAGATCGTTCAAATACCGAGGGACTAAGATATGGAATGGTCTAGATACAGAGCTGAAATAAATTAGTGATTTGAACAATTTTAAGACGAAACTTAAGACAATTCTTATTGAGAAGCGATGTCCTTCTTTTTAACTTTTTTAACTCATAAACAATATTATATAGTATAATTTTAGTTCGCGTAATAACTTTGATAAGATTGTTGTAAGTATATATAGTCGATAACTCATAATTTCTTCTAAAATCGATGTAAATTGTCATTGAAAAGCCCATTTTAGGGAATGTCAATTAATAAATTCAAATTCAATAAGTTTTGTGTTTCGTACATTAAACGTTAAGACTTCTTACATATACGCGACAACGTTTGTTTGACGTCCCCTTTGGGGATTTATATTTTCTTTAGCCGACATCCATATATTATTCGTTTTTGCGTAAGCAATCTATATTATTTCGTTTTGACAAGTAAATTTGCAAACGCAAACAATCTTTGTGATTGGCCAATTTTTATTTTAGTTAAAAATGGGCGTAGCCCGCAGGGGCGGAAATGGAAAAACAGTAGATCTCGTTCAGGCACTATTTTCTCCCCTCTCCCTTTATTTTCCCCTCTCCGTCCTCCCCCCTCACCTAAGAGCTGCTAGGCAAGCTAGCCTTACCTTTCCTTACCTCACGTCACCTTACCTTACCTTACTTTACCTTACGCTACCTTACATTACCTTACGCTACCTTACGTTACCTTACGTTATCTTACGTTACCTTACGTAACCTTACGTTACCTTACTTTACCTTACGTTACCTTACGTAACCTGATGTTACCTTACGTCACCTTACGTTTCCTTACGTTATTTTGCGTTATCTTACTTTACCTTACGCTACCTTACGCTACCTTACGTAACCTTACGTTACTTTACCTTACCTTACGCTAGCTTACGCTACATTACGTTATCTTACGTTATCTTGCGTCATCTTACGCTACCTTACGTAACCTGACGTTACCTTACGCTACCTTACGTAACCTGACGTTACCTTACGTCACCCTACGTTACCTTACGCCATCTTACGCTACTGTAAGGCACTGTCACACTATTGCGTATCGTACTAGCGTATGCCAGCGTATGAAAAATATCACTCATACGCTGGTATACGCTGACATACGCTAGGGGTACGTTAGGCATAGGTTGTATACGTTTCAAGGACGGTCGCATACGGTAGCATACGGCGAGGCATTTTAAGCATGTTCAAAAATTGTGTGCGTATCGGACGTATGCTTTATACGATAAGCATACTCTAGGCACACTTTGAATATGCTAGAGGTATACGCCAGATGTACGGTACTCATACGCTGGCATTTCAAAGGATTTTTGTGCGTATGAAAATTAATGAAATAATTTTCATACGCACAAAAATCCTTTGAAATGCCAGCGTATGAGTACCGTACACCTGGCGTAGCTCTAGCGTATTTAGCGTGTGCCTAGAGTATGCTTATCATATAAAGCATACGTCCAATACGCAAAAATTTTTGAACATACTTAAAAAAAATGTTCTGCCTCGCCGTATGCCAGCGTATGCACCGTACGCGACCGTGCTTGAAACGTATACAACCTATGCCTAACGTACCCCTAGCGTATGTCAGCGTATACCGGCGTATGAGTGCTATATTTCATACGCTGGCATACGCTAGTAAGATACGCAATAGTGTGACAGGGCCTTTACCTCGCCTAACCTTACCTTACCGTTTGCCTTATCCAACCTTGTCTTGCACTCTCCAATTAAACACTTTGCCTTTGGTACTGTACGTTATCCATCATGTGGACAAAAGTTACTTCTTTAACCAGTTGCTTCACCTTAAGTTACCTTAATTTAGATACGATCGATTATTCTCCCTAGATGTGGCAGCGTCTATCCAGGGTAGCATAACGATTAGTAATCGTGAATACAAACCAGAGTATGACAACACAAACAGCAGGGAATATTATGATATTACAGAAGAAATCATCATTGCGGTATGGAAATCTTAATTTTTCAGGCTTGTAGTTTTATTATTATTATTATTATTATTATTATTATTGAGACAGCTAGGTAAAAATTTTAACCAAGTTAAATTTATAAATCTCTCCATCAGCTCTTTAGGTATTTTTGCAGAAGAATGTTATACATTTTTAGACATGTTAGAAAGTATTGGTCTTGACAAAAACCACCAAATGTACTGCGTTAAGAAAATGATGACTATTGCTATTAGAACTACATATTACATTTTTTGCTGCCGAAATAAAGAATGGGAAAATCCGGATTTACTAACAATTTGACTTATCTGATTGTATATATATATATATATATATATATTGCATGCACTTTGTTCTGTTATTTTATTTTAGTTTAGTATAATTGTGATTTAAATAGCCAACCGTAAGTTACCTTTATGAGAGAGATTTACGATTGTATATGTATGTAAAGAAAAAAAGATTCTATTTTCGATTTTCTATCTGGTGCCAATGGTCCGATATGATTATCCGAGTTGACAAATGCAGTACCTTTGGCATTAAAAAAGCGATCACAAAATCAGTTCAGTACTTGCCAAAACTCCTCATCAGCAATCAACTAATACCAAAAATCACCATTGGAGAATCATTTCAATATTTAGGACGTTACTTTGATTTCCACATGTCGAATGATAATCACAAAACTGAACTAACCACCCTACTTAACGAACTAATGTCTGATATTGACTCAAAGCCACTACACCCCAAAAATAAACTGCTCCTCTACAGTCGCTACGTCTTGTCCAAGTTAGCCTGGCACTTCACCGTCGCAACACTCTCTAAAACATGGGTTACTGAAAATATCGACTCTATTGCCAACAAATATATCCGCAGATGGCTTGATGTACCAATATCAGGAACACTAAGTACTGTCTTTCTAACAAATAACAAATTTGGCCTGAGTATTTATCCTCCATCTGTAAAATTTATCCAGTGTCAAACAGTCCTCCGAAAAGCTTTAAAATCTTCTCCTAATGAATCAACTAACGACCTGTGGAGAGCAACCAGTAACCATACTAATATCCAATATGACGCTTATAACTCTACTAAGGAAGTTCTCAAAGATTTCCGTTCTGGACACGAAAACAAACTCCTAACCCAATTAACCAGTCAAGGATCCTTTTTCTGCAGCGTCACGAAGTTCGCTTTACCTCAGCTTAGCAAGGTGTGGTCCGTCGCCCAATCAAAGCTCCCGAAAAACATTTACAACTTTACCATTCGTTACATTAACAACTCTCTTCCGACGCGCCAAAACCTAAACAGATGGGCAATATCTTCAAATTCAGACTGTTCTTTTTGTCTTAGCCCTGAAACATTACTACACATAGTAGCTGGATGTCAGTTTTATCTCGACCGATTTACGTGGAGACACAATTCAGTCCTGAACTTTCTTGCTCATCAGCTACAAACTGTTGACGGTTCTACTCTCTACGCTGATCTAAATGGATTCAAAAGCCCTTCAATACTTACTGGTGATACGTATCGCCCAGATTTGTTATTATCGTGCTCAAATGGTTCCTTATATGTGGTTGAACTCACCACTGGTTATGAGACAAACCTCAAAAACAATGTAAAACGGAAGAAGGATAAATATAGAGAACTATTGAGACAGCTAGGTAAAAATTTTAACCAAGTTAAATTTATAAATCTCTCCATCAGCTCTTTAGGTATTTTTGCAGAAGAATGTTATACATTTTTAGACATGTTAGATAGTATTGGTCTTGACAAAACCCACCAAATGTACTGCGTTAGGAAAATGATGACTATTGCTATTAGAACTACATATTACATTTTCTGTTGCCGAAATAAGGAATGGGAAAATCCGGATTTACTAACAATTTGACTTATCTCATTGTATATATATATATATATATATATATTGCATGCACTTTGTTCTGTTATTTTAGTTTAGTATAATTGTGATTCAAATAGCCAACCGTAAGTTACCTTTATGAGAGAGATTTACGATTGTATATGTATGTAAAGAAAAACATTTAATAAAGTTTCCATTATTATTATTATTATTATTATTATTATTATTATTATTATTATTATTACTATTATTATTATTATTATTATTATTATTATTATTATTATTATTATTATTATTATTATTATTATTATTATTATTATTATTATTATTTCTATAGTTATATAGTTATTTCCAAGTATATTCGAAAATGGTTACAGATCTCGATTAGTGGCAATATCACTCATCTAAAACTACCAAAATCATATCTAGGGATTGACTTTTGCTCTGCTTCAGATATATATTTACAATGCAAACTTTCGGTTAGGCGCATATTGAAAACATCTAGGAACAGTGATATTCAACATCTGTATTCTGTAACATCTTCCAAAAATATTAATACGGATGAAATAATTGAGAAAGTATCATCAAATGTAACAAATGGATACGAACTGAAAACCGGAACAAATAAGTTATTGAAACAGCAAAGTACAAATAATATTTGGGCAAATTTTATTACGCTAAAGGAACAAAGTATTATTATAAACTATCTAACTGAAGCGTGCAACAAGAAAATACTGCAATTTTGGCAAGAAATGGTTAGCAGACTACCCCGTAATATAACTTGTTTTGCAAGACGGGCTCTAGTGCTTAACTTGAGCAACAATTCTAACCTCAAGCGGTGGAACATTCGAGATTCTCCAAATTGTGACCTTTGCAACAAAATTCAAACACAGCTTCATGTTCTGTCATATTGCCCTGTAGCGTTACAACAACATCGATATACGTGGAGGCATGATTCTATATTAAACACCATTCTTCATCACTTAAGGAGAGTGATGTCGGAAGACCTGGAGATTTTTGCCGATTGTCCAGACTCTGGCTTGAAATGTACGTCCAATCTGTTTCAAGCGTTAAGGCCAGATATTACGATTCGTTATAAAAGAGATTTGTATGTGATTGAATTGACTGTCCCATATGAAACGAACTGCATGATTGCAAGACGACGTAAACAAGAAAAATATCGGGCACTGCGATCACAGTTACTCGTACCGTGTGATAGATTTAAAGTTATAACTTTGGAAGTCACTACTCTAGGCTTCGTCACGAAGAGTATAGGCCAATTTCGTAGGCTATGTAGGTTGTTACATTTGCAAGACGATCGTATCATAACAAAATGTATGGAGGTTGCACTTCGTGCTACTTTCTACATATTTTGTAAGAGAAATAAGAACTGGTCTTGCTCTGAAAAGCTCAACTTCTATTAGCTACTAATGTGTGACAGTGTAGATAACGGACCTGCTTTATCCAGAGAACTGTTGTCTTATTTATTAAGTGTAGTTAGGTAAAATTTGGTCTGGACTCATAAATGTATGACTATATGGGTCAGGCTATGTAATTGATTTGTAAAGGTTTAAAAAAAATTATTATTATTATTATTATTATTA